GAGCCCGCCCGGCCGAGCGGTGCCTGCCGCCGAGTCTGTTCCGTGGTAGCAGCTGGCAAAGCGGCCTTTCTCGCTTCGGACCTGAGCGCTCCCGGAGCTCCGCGTTCTTCTCTGCTAGTCCTGCCGGCCCCGTTTCGGTCCAGGCGCTGCAGCGATGGGCCTGCAGCCTCCCGGGAGGAGGAGAATGCCTCTGTGCCTTCGTGCTCGCTTTCCCTCTTTCCTGTCGTCGATCTCCCTGTAGAAAGACTATGGAGCAGGGCAAGCGTTTGCCCTGCTGTAGAAGAGCCATTCTCCAGTGCTGCTTTGACTGGTGGTAGAGGAAGCTCCACCTGGAAGTGTAACTGAGCCCAGAGTCCAAATTTAAGTGTACTTGACTGACAAATGCAACCTCACAGCGTTAGGGCTCAGGAAACCTTTAGCTCTGCAGTGGAGTAGGTTTTCTGCTGGTGGTTTTCCATGAAACTGTTCCAGCTCTATCCAAAATCATCATCTTTCCCAGTTGATGACAGGAAATACTGAGAAGTGAAATTAGACTTTTGCCTGTGGTATGTGCTCGTGTGGCCTTTCTGAGAAGCTGCTCATGAATACCTGACTGCTAGTTACTTTTTATGAAGAATAAGTGGCACTTATTTTATGGATTAAATACAAAATCGTGCAAGGACTTGAAAACTAGAGAAGAGAGAAAGGACTTGCGTTTGGGCGGTGTTTTGTTGAGCTAAAGGTTCCTGAAACGGAACAACAGACAGGATTTCTCTGAGTTTTCTGCGGTGATTTTCATTAGTGCAGGCACCAGAGTATTTTCCTTAATTAACAAGGATTCAGAGCAATTACTAAGAGAAGGCTTGGTCGTCTAAATAAATGTATATAATTCTGCAGTTCAGGTAGGTAAAAGAGTAGGAGGTGATTTTTAGCTGCTCTTTTGTCCTTATTGTACTGCTCATTCAAATACCAGTTTAGTTCATACTTTAAAAATATATATGTTTATATATTTTTTAAAATATGTTTTTAGAATTGCTTTAGGAACATATTTCATAGGACATGTAGACACAATTGTTTCGCTCACTCCCCTCTCCACCTCCACACGTTCACCTGGGCTCTCCCCCATAACCGATGTGATTTAAGTCAGAAAAGCCTGTAACAATAGACTGAGAACCAGTGTGATCTATTAGGGATGGGGCCTAGACTGTGGGCTTTGGTTTGTTTGAGAAGTGCTGTGATTCGGTGTTTTTATTAGGGGCTTTTATGGCTTTTTTTTAAAAACTGAGAAGAAAATGACTATACTTGTGCAGTAGCCAAGAAAACTTCTGCCTGTTACATCCTCCTTCTTGTAAGGCCTGTGTTTAGGGTTTGAGGTTTTTGTTTGTCTGTTGTTAATACATTTAAATATCACTGTGCTGCAAGGAGAGATTTAAAGCTTGGACACCTAGACTTCCCAGTGCTTAGTAAATGCATAGGAACACTTA